ATTGGCATGTACTTTCTCTCTACCATTCAGATTGCCGCCCAAACGACGATGAAACGTGCAGTATGCTCCTTGTGTATGACAATCATCTATTTAAATAATGTATATCATGCAAGTTTTATTATAACTTAAATGTGTTGATCATAATGTATGTATGACGTTGCATATATTATAATATATTGTTACTGTAAAAGAATACTTTAAAATTTCATGTGTATATTTTAATTTTTTTTATTTAACTTTATTACATTCCTACCTCGTACATCTGTGATACAAGTTGGTTCTCTCTCTCTCTCTCTCTCTCTCTCTCTCTCTCTCTCTCTCTCTCTCTCTCTCTTTCTCTCTCTCTCTCTCATAATTCATGTAATTACAAGTAAACGAAATCGCATGCATCGTTTAGACATAAAACCTTATGTATATAATATGCATGCGATTTCGTTTACTTGTGATTACATGAAAACTGTTTTGTCGTCAGGTTATAAGCTGTTGTTTACTTTTTGTATAAATCTTTCCATTATAATTTGTGACGTTTGTAATTTTCTTTTCGATGGAAAGTCTTTGATGTAACCAATGTAAAAAAGGGAACACATAATTACTACAATTGTAGTTATTAAGAATTAAATTACAAATTTTCTTATTTTGGATTATCTGCATTATCCACTCCTCATTTTCAACGTCATAGTTTGTCTACATTTTCTTCTTCTTCTTCTTCTTCTTCTTCTTCTTCTTCTTCTTCTTCTTCTTCTTCTTCTTATTATTATTATTATTATTATTATTATTATTATTATTATTATTATTATTATTATTATTATTATTATTATTCCAATCGGCACACGCTTGCTTGTGCTAAATGTAACAGTACTTTCAACACATTACTGGCTATGTCATGCTGAGAAATCTGGGACTGAACATTCCCCATGGACACAACGTGGTATCAACCCGCGCTGGCATAGGCCAGTGTCAGACATTATTCAGTGAAGCTACCGCGGCTGAAAAAAAATAAACAATTGCTAATGGCCAAATATCCGTTTCTCCGTCTTCCTTATTGATTTGTGTGCCATCTAGAATATTATTCTCTTTATTATTTCATCTTCCTAGTGCAAAAAAAAAATGTTGTTCTTCGAATCTCATGATATTCATCAGTGAATATTCTTGTGCACGTACGTGCTATAGGGGTAGGGTGTGATCTGTTTATTAGTTTCATTATATAAAATTTTAAAAAGCGAGTATTTTATATATGTGTTTTTTGGAGTTTAGTGAGTCATCCATGTAAAAGGTATAGTTTATAGCAAAAAGATTATTTTGTATCTTTTATGCATGCTCTTCAACGTAAATACAATGTACATGTTCAAACTGATTTGAATTATTCGATTTCTTAGTTTTTGTGATTTGTTTAAGAAACGAGGCAAAAATGAAATATACATATATTAAAAACGAGTATCTTTCTTCCCAGATATATATCTAATAAACCAACGAAATCTAAATGTGCATATGTTTGTTCTGTCATACTTATATATCATTATATATATATATGTGTGTGTGTGTGTGTGTGTGTGTGATAGAGAGAGAGAGAGAGGAGGTGATGATGATGATGATGATGATGATGATGATGATGATGATGATGATGATGATGATGATGATATTAAACTTCAGGATAATATATCTGAGAAATCATATGGACATAATCATAAACCCTGATCTTCGACACTTTCTTCAACGGCAGATTAGAGTATATGTTGTTTGCCATACGACTCGGAATTGTAGCGAGCGCAGACGATATTCCAATAATTGTAAACTTTTCTTGTAACAAGCTTGTCATATTACTACACAAATATCCATTTAATTTACAAATTTTGCAATAATTTCTTTTTTTGGCACCATTGAAAAGTGTAAAAAGAAGTCAGTGGGAGGCTTGTAATTCTGACAGTCGATACCCAGATCGTCTAAATGGTGGAATGTGATCTCTTGCGTCCCAAAACATAGACAAAACTTTGATGGATATAGGTCTTGTTTGTCGTCACATGATCGATCAGCTGAATATGAAAATGACAATTACAACATGCTTTTTTGCATGAATGTATGTAGAAAGTTTTTCTCGTATTTGGTTTGAAGGGAAAAAAGAAATTGCAATTAAAAGATATTTGTAAAAATAAACGGTTATATAATAGGGTTGGAGAACCCTCTAACTTTCGGGCTTGGATGTATATTATTTTACTTGTATAGGAAGAAATGAACAACTCCAGTCTGTATTATTTAAAGTTTGAAAATGTATATTTTAATGATCGCTTGTCCTATAAATAAAACTTTATTGCCTCAATCATTCAGACACGAGTGACTCGTTACTATCTCTTTAGGCAGAAGGAGTGCTAGGATGCAAAAAAGAAATAATAAAGAGGTACAAAAACAATGGTTTCAGATAATTCATTCGATATGTTAAGTATGTATTTTAATATTTACATCAACACACATCGCTGATCAAAATTTCGTATGACGAACACAGTTAAACTTTGAAATTATTATGCATAACACTATACTTCTTAACAGAAATTATTTACGATTTCATTATTAATATTTTATTAATTTACCTTGAAGGCAGTATAATCATAAGACATATAAAAATATTAAGGATAAGAATATATACTAAATACATTAATATATTTTTGCAGTAAATTTCCGCTTACATATGTTTTCGAACAGTTTTGAAACTCATTTTTATTTTTTACTGACAAGAAACACTTAGGTTATTGCTATACTAATTTGAACTACAAACGTAAATATTGTCTACTGTAGTATAATTATGCCAAGTTGTAATTTTACATTTTTAAGAATTATGCAAATCATTTTAATAAACACATCGCTTAAACTGAAACATGTTGTTGCCAAATACTGCATGTTTGTCGAAGGTTAACAGCTTCTCATGTCACGTGATTTGGTAAGCGGTGCTATCTATCATCTAACGTAAGACCAATTGTAGGAGTATTATTTGCTACTGAATATTTAAATCAGACCTTCTATTGTAACATAATTTGTTCAGTTTCTCCCTGATTCTATAACATTCTTTGAATCATACTGGCTAATTTCTAAAAGACTTCATATGCATATACAGTTCCCTTGTTCTGAAGCATTGCAGTGTTCTTCATACGCATGCTTTGAAAGTCGCTAATTCATCACCGCCAAAACATTAAGTGAAACACACACAGTATGAAGACAATACATTAAGTTAGAAAAGCATATTTATTTTTAAAATATATTTTAGATGCACGAAAACTACAATGCTCTATAAATATTTTATTATATAACAAAATACGTTAACGTTTTGCAAAAATCAATAACCACAGAGTCCATTGGTTGCATGACATTAATTGCATTCAGACGCCTTGAAACTTTTGTACTCTGATATCAGGACACGATATTACACAATTGCAATATTGAAAACATTGAACCTTGTGATTAAATTTCGTACCAACGATTTCATGCTTTGCAAGCATTATATCATATTAGTATCATTAATACCATGCACTGACGTCATTATATGATATTCTAAAAATCCCGTACAAGACTTGAAAGGAGAGGATATAGAGTGCACGTTTGAAGAGTTAATCTATATATAAAAAACAAGATGACACATTAAAGATTTAAAACAACTTGAAGAGCAATATAGATGGACTATAACAAATGTGTTATTTGTAGCCAGATTAAACATCTTGTCTTGTAAATAAATATAAGAATGATAACACATAGACAAAAGTGTAGAGATCTAATGAACTAAATGAATCACATGATTTAGAAATTATCACAGAGATAAAGAACATGACATTGAGAAATACAAAGTTGTTGTTGTTATGGGGTTTAACGCCATTTTTCAGCACACAATAAGCTATACCTGGCGGCCAGTATTAATGGTGGAGGAAGAAACCGGGAAATCACCGGAAAGGACCACCGACCCACGAGAAGATACTGGCAAGCTTCCTCACACATCCACATTCGCCGAATCTTAGACTCGAATCCACGCAGACATAGGTGAGATGGCAGTGATCTGTAACGTAGATCGCGTTAGACCACTCTTCCACTTGGGGTTAAGAAACACAAAGATGAATCCTGCAACGTTTTGTTTTTAAAAATCTGAGAAAGAGATGCAGTATAAAAGACTACAAGCTAGTCCATGAAAGTCTATGGTACGTTAGCGCAAAAAATCACATAAATATCGAATATCGAATCATTCATGCGTACCTTCTTACAACGTCACTGATTTTATTCAAAGAAGGTATAGTAAGTACACCAGAAGTTATTAATTTTTCCTGGGTTCGCGTTATATAATTTCATAGTATGCATTAAACCGTCTGCCACAAGAAAGTACCATAATCACTGTTTAAGTCATTTCATATTGAAATAATTACTACAGGTGGATGATGAATTAAAATCAAGTGCATTGTGTCTCAGTGTGCACAAATGCACATTTGGAACATGCAAGAACTTCGTTTAAACTTGTATAGATTGAAATTAAAATACACAAATAAATGGTAAAATGATGCAAATTTAACAGGGAGAAACTGATAGGTCAAATGATGCAACACACACGATACAAAATACAGAGATACAAAGTGTGTGTAACATTAACGAGATTATTGTGGTACTACAGAGGATAAATAAAGAAAATATAAAGAAACATCCAGAGGGAATTTCATGTGAATATTTAAAGATATTACTCATGAGCACATTAAAGATGATATTCAAAAATATTTTTTGAAATCTAATTAATAGGAAACATTATCAGAAATCGATACAGCATTGCATTTGTAGTAGCTTGAGGCAGAGCCAGATTTAGACAAAGCGAGGCCCTAAGCTACGGGAAGCTATAGAGGCCATATTTGATATAAAATAAATTTGAGACTGAATTCAGACTTTGGGTTCATAAGCTGTAGCTTGTTTAGCTTATGCATAAATCTGGTACTGGCTTGAGGACTCAAACCTAACAGTAAAAAGTGTCTATTCCCAAACTAATAGACCCCGCTCCGGTGGCAGAGTGGGTAGAGCGTCCTCCTCAAATGCGGGAGGTCGTGGGTTCGATACCCGGTCGAGTCATACAAAAGACTTAAAAAATGGTACAAACTGCTTCCTCGATTGGCGCTCAGCATTAAGAGGTTAGTGTTAGGATTGGTCGGCCTGGTTTCGGGATAATGTGATTGGGTGGGACATCATGCTATATGTCTGCGGTATGATGCCCAAGTGCTAGACATCCCTAAAAACTGCCACACTGCAGACATCGTAGCGATATGACTGAAAAATTGTTAAAGCTACGTTACAAATCATAATCACATCACATCAGACCACGGTTCGAAAATACTAATTTCCTTTCAAAATGTATTAACAGTCTCTTGTTTGATATAATGGACTTAATATTTTGAAATGCCAACATATACAGCAGATTACCATTGCTATACCAAAGAGTTAAAACAGTAATTCTAACCCAGGAACACCAAACATATTAAACTAGAAGCAAAATGTTATTTTAACCATCATACCATAAAACATGTTCATAGTTTACGTCAAGGGATATGTAGATGGATAAAGATGACAGAACGACGTAATATCTTGGCAAAGTCTGTTACACTTGATAGTATAGACTGAAACAGCTGGTTGTGGAATTTCAGTACTTCATTAAAGAGAGCTATCTTCTTCAAAGCTAATTCAGTAACTACAAAGGCTTTACATTTAATTTTAAAATCTAGGCTGGCTTTATTTTAGCTAGTCACCTCGATTTGAAATAATTTTAATATTGTTTGCTGCAGTTGCTGTTGTCATACATACATCGAATGAAGATAAAAAATATATTGAATATTATGTCAATGTCTTCAAATGCAAATTTTATTTAGTCCAGAGATTACAATAAACGTCGAGACAGTTAAGTAAATCCGATTATAAAAATTAAAGAAGAAATTATGTATAGTTAAAGAAATAAAATTCTAATATGGTATTCTATCTGGTATCTACAATGGAACGTCCAGTCTCAAGGGAAAATAACAGTCATTTTTTAACGTGCCATAAATGTTAATCTGACACTTCAGGTACATTGAGTAAATCAGACCCAATCTAACATTGACCTTTAATTTTTATTTCAATTAGAAAATAGTAAGCAATTTACCTTTTTAGATGTTATTGAGAACAACTGAAATTGTAATAATTCTGTCTAGGTTATACATAATTTTGTATCCTATGTACATTATTCTTCAAATAGTATTGAGATTAATTTGAAATTCTTGACATATTGAGTAGATAAGACAAAAATGGCATCCAAAGATATATTTCTTCACCCTGGAGAAAATAATTCACACTGTTTTAACATTTTTGTTAAAATACAAGCAAAAGTTAAATGTCCATCCCTGTTGTAATGTTTTGCTGACGTATAAATAAATATATGTTTGTGCAATACATATTGATTAGGCATATAATCAGCAATAGGAAGGCATAATTAAGAATTCGCATAATAAGGAGAAAAAAGTATAAGCCAGACACTGTTGTCATTGGAGTCATAAACACAAAGAATGAAGAACCTTAACTTCGAAGTATAAATGCATGCAAGAGGTAAATGCTTGAAACATAACTTTTTAAAGGGAAACCTGGATGTAACCCTTTGCAAATATTTAGACAAAATACATAACATTTTTGTTGTTGTGGTTCAATGATAAATCCGCCATCCACCATGGAATACTTAACAATGGGAGTAAATCACATACGATATTAAATGTACATTTATCAATAAAGTTTTTGAACAACTTAGACATTAGTTTCACATATATTATCCTGTTTTCATTATTTAGTCTCAGATACGTAAACAAACCTATCAAATATTCCAATGCAGTGCAAAAAGATATTAAGCTTTCCTTTCATGACCTGGTGATGGAGAAATTAATGTAGTTCTCGCCACAATATTAAAATTATACAGCAGGTAACTGTCATAGAAGGCCTATGAATATGTATGAAAACAATATTTAGCATCTTCTGTGATGAAACTAAAAGTGTCAAAAATATACTATATAAAATAAAATTATATGTAATTTAAAATGATTAAAACGCATAATGATGGCGGATAACTACAACATCTTTGTTCTTACAGAGTACTAATCTGAACTTATGGGAAGACTCGCATGCACTGCGAATAGCAGCACAGTATCGGCGCTAAATCTATGAATGAATCTGGTTTTTGCTTTTTCGTGTCCGGCTTGGATTAAAAGATGAAATTGTCGCTAAAATGTTCTTGCATGAACATAAATAAATAGTATGTATTGCTTTTTATCATCTTCGTTTCTTGTCAAAATAAAAAGAGTACATTAAGCCGAACGAGAAGTCATCAATAATTAGCTACTATGGATTGTAACCTTGAGAGAGAGAGAGAGAGAGAGAGAGAGAGAGAGAGAGAGAGAGAGAGAGAGAGAGAGAGAGAGAGAGAGAGAGAGAGAGAGAGAGATCATTGAGGTTTTATTCGGCTTGAGCTTAGTTTGTTTTCTAGAATCGTCAAATGTCAAGTAAATCTTTATTCTGAATATGTGACTAAATGACTGCAACTTTGAGCCAAAGTAGTATTGATTATTTTGTCAGCTAATCTCAGTAGAAATTTTTTTATTGACACAAGAATATTGTTAAATAGATCACTGTCCTAGCTATACAAGTTGTATTGGTCATGCGCATTTCGTATTGTATTTTACCTCCAGTACAAGCTGTTCTACGTGTACTTTTGATACATTTCTCTAGCAAATAAGACACTCAATTGTTAAAAAATGGTTTTCGTCTTTGCCAGTAAATACCATAGCTTTTCGTTAATAGGTTATGTGCTATGTTAGTAATTTTAGTCAATGAATACAGTCATAGCCACTGAACGCTGCTAAAGGTTTCTTGTTTTCGCGTACTGATTTTACATACAGAGGCCAGAAAAAATGTCTTTGTTGTTTTACCAATTTAAATGCTAAAACTGAACACTCTTTCTAAAGTATATCTACGGACTTATATAAGCTGAAATACAATCATTTTGCTTCTCTGGCATGCTGAAAATTTTAGTGCCTATTTTACATACGCTTTAACTCTTTATTTAAGGAATTCTAACTTACTAAGTACTGATTTTTATACTTTTTTGTAAATACTAAAAGTCAATCAATGTTTTTCAAATCATATCTATCCAAATTGTATTTAGATGGTTTTTCAAGACCTCAAGTATTTATTTTGATTAAATCATGTCTGAAGCTCTCAACTAATTATTGCAAGTAATTATTGCATTTGGATGATGTCAGAAGCCCACAATTAATTATTGTAATTAGATAGTGTCTGAAGCCCTGAAGTAATTATTGCATTTGGATGGTGTCTAAAGCTCTCAAGGATTCCTGTATTTGGATGGCCTGAATTCCTTCTTGAATTATGTAAAAATCCTATATGCACCTTATCCTACTTGAACTGGATGTCTTATAAGTCTGATTGTCAAATCTAATGGAGCTATTGCAGAATCAAACTGTCCAATCATTCCAATTATGAACACCATCAGGAGGTTCAATACCAATGAGTATAACATTAAACTTTAGTTTTACCATGGTACAAATTATACTCATTTACGATACTATAAAAAAGTCTATTTACGTTTCTTGTAATTCTTTTAAAATTTTGTTTCTTCTTGCATCTAAATTAATCTCTTGTTGAACGATGTATGAAAGAAGTTTGTGGGTGTGTTTGTGTGTGTGCGTGTGTTTTTGTATGGTCATAGACATTCAACAATTCATATATAATATGAAGTGCACCATGAATCACTACTACCAGGAGGATTCCGTTGTGCAGCAGATCTTTACAATCCGCGATGTCACCTTATGCTAAAAAAATTATGAAATTTATTTTGCCCATCCGACTAACGAAGTTTTAAATATTATCCTTCTCTTATCACTCGGTTCTTTAATAAGTTAAATACGAGACCTGTCTTTCTATGGAATTTTTATTTCTGGGCCTCTTCTCTGTTCATATTTATTCTTTCTTGCCATTGTGTCATGCGGCTATCATCATCATTAGTGAACCACAAACACGATAAATTCCTCTAAAGATCATTCTAATTTGCCAAGCTCTTCGCACGATGACAAAGCATCTTTGACGATGGTCTCTTATTTATAAGATCTCCATTATGTTTTAACTTCGTTATATAATGTTCACACATATTAAGCCCTTTCCAAATCCCATAGCTTATATTCAGTTTTTATTGCTGAGCGTAATAAACTGATGTTATATTCTATAGTGGCCTCTATTTCCAAAAGAGAAATTATAATCCTTGACAAGAACCGAACCGCGATTGTTTTGATTGGCACATCACCATGCTGCATTTAGACTGGTCGCCTTTGCTTAATGAAGTTTTACCTATAATATATGCTCTAATATACATATAATGTACCGGAAATCATTTATTAAACTGCGCTAAGCTCAAGGTTCATCAGTCGTTTTAACAGTCTTATTCTTTCTAGGTACGAATAGCTAAGTTCATGTTGAGCTTTGTAATTAATTATTAAATCATCTTAAAAATGTTGGGCGAAGACTTGAAAGCTTAATTTATAGTGCTATTAATTGAAATAAAATTATATATATATATATATATATATATATATATATATATATATATATATATATATATATATATATATATATATATATATATATATATTCCTTTTAACAATGTTTATTTCTCGTTCTGTCAAAAAACGTGTTATAAACCATACTTTTGAAAACGCTAGTGGTTATGCTTATTTTTGTTAGGTATTTTCATAGGCGATGAATTTAATCGATAGCGAAATTAATGATAGACTAAAATGCTGTGATATATGAAGTTTTACTCTAGAAGCGGTTGCTAAATTTACATGAGCGTATCGTACGTTAACATTCACAAGGCAATTTCAATATATATTTTATACCTTTACATAAGAAATAACAGCTTTGGAAACGAAGAGACACATTAAAAATGATTGCAAAAAATTGAGCTTCTCATAATTGCCTTTTCTGTATACCTTCATTTGATTCCATATGATTCCATATACAGAACTAATGCTTAACGACCAAGTATCCAG